ACCACTCCTTCCCCTGGTGGAGGGCCGGGGGAGAATCTTTTGTTCTCCACTCCCCGCTGCTCACCCCCGGGTGGGCAGCACCCTAATGTGGTTAAAGAAAGAAGTAACGCACGGAATGCACTTCCTTTAACGGTTAGGAATGCTACTACATTAACGAGTTTTAAGAAACTGTTAAAAACCCATCTTTTTTAAGAAGGTGTTTGTTTCTTAATTGGTGTATGTTAATGTATCTTATTTATTTATTTATTTATTTTTATTTTTTATGTATTTATTTTTGTACTGTACTTGTAGCGCTTTGGGTACAAGAAAAGCGCAATATAAATAAAATCTATTATTATTATTATTAACACATCCATCCCTGAGCACACAGAGTTCTCGGACGACACGGTGCGCCGCCCCCAGGCCGTGCACCCCTCGTCCTCCTCTGTCCCAGAGCCGGATGACAGTGCGCACCGTCCCCGGACCGTGCCGCTCTCATCCTCCTCTGTCGCCAGCCCCCTGGCAGAGCAGACCCCCGTGGAACATTCATCCTTCCCTGGTCTCCTCTGTCAGGGCGCGGTCAATGACTGTGCCCCCACACCGGGCCGCTATGCCGTCCACGTCTGGGCCAGTCATTCCGCCTCGCTGCACCACCGATGGGAAGTCTGTGGTTCGTATGACCCCGCTGGTTCAGTCGTTGGGAGCCTGGCTACAGCTTCCCAACCTGTCCCGGTTTGCAAACACAGGGACCTAGTGCTCCGGCACCTAGCTCGTCTGGGCCTTCGGGTCAACTGGGAAAAGACCAAACTTTGCCCCGTGCAGAGGATCTCTTTTCTCGGTATGGACATCGACTCGGTCGCCATGAATGTCGCACGCAGTCACTGCTGACTTGCCTGAGACAGTTCGAGGGCAAGAGTGCGGTTCGTTCCACTGAAACTTTTTCAGAGGCTCCTGGGGCATATGGCATCTGCATCCGCGGCAACGCCGCTCGGATTGCTTCATATTAGACCGCTTTGGCTTCGCGATCGAGTCCCGAGGTGGGCATGGCAACACGACACCCTCCGAGTACCAGTTACTCCGACCTGCCGTCAGACCTTCACCCCGTGGTCAAACCTCAGTTTTCTACGGGCCGGAGTGCTACGGGCCGGAGTGATTTATATTAAAATTATGCTTGTGTTTAGCATATTTCTTAAAAGTGTAATTAAGCATATATTTATTACCAATGCACTTCTAGTACACTTGTTAGAAATATATTAAAATGCAAAAAAATTGCACTAAAAATACATTTAAAATATCAATGTTATTTAATATAATTTCGCAATTACACTTAAGTACTACTTAAGTAAAAATATGCTTTTAATTAGTGTATATATAGTGCATAATTTTTACAGTTTTCTTTAGCACAAAAAGTAAGAATATACTACAAATATACTTTCTTGTATTTAAGTGTTTTTTTAGTGCACTCAAGTACACTTTTTTTTCACCTGGGATGTCATTAATTACATAAGGTGCGAAATATGTCAAGCTGCTGCTTAGAAAGTCCAGCAGATGATAAACTAAAAGCCTAAAAATGATCAGAGGCACCAAAACCTTTGCATAAAACTGTAACAACACATTTTTTATTCTACTGTTAGGTGCTGCTCTTTGCCAAGCTTTCCATGTTGCAATTTAAAGAGACAGTGACTTACCCAGTTTCAGCAAGTCCTCATTGCTTGTCCAGGAAGTCCGAAACTTCGGAAGTAAAATTGCAGCAGCAATGAGTTCGGGGTCCAAAAGCATGGGTCCAAACCGCTGCTGTATTCCTTCTTGAAGGGCAAAGATCAGTGGCTCGCAGAACTTGGATGAGGTTAGGAGGCGGTCAAGCTTCACAGTTAGGAGGGTAATAGTGGGCACCAGCCATCCCATATGGACATTCACTTCTGTCGGCATTATGTTCAGTGCCTTGGCGATTGGGCTCATGGTAGCAACATATTCAGTCAAAAAGGCAAGTTCTGCAGGGCTGAACCTGTCACACAGCGATAGAAAATCATACAAAATGTCATGTGGCAATAACATTTGCAACATACACAGATGGCTAATGTTACTAAATATTACATTAGTTAATATTCCATAAAGTTTTATGTTGTATGTTTATGCAAGACAATGTGTTTGGCAGTATAACACTTACATGGGGACTTTAAGTGCAATGCAAACTGCTCTGATGGCTCCTTCTCCACTGTCTTGGATGATTCTTAGCAATCGTTCCACTGAAAGAAAGAGGGAGTTCCTAGTGTCATTTGGTCGAATAAGTTGGAGCTTGCACTCCCTTTCAATCACCTCTGCAGCTGAGGTGGAGCGAGCACTCTTGTTCCACAGTGCCGTGCACTTAGCAAATGCTGCACGTGACATTTTTTTGTAGACCTGATTTGAGTTGGCTTTGGTGGCATCTACTGTTGAGATCAAGTTCAGAAGATGACATGCACAACGGTGGTGCTTTGGGAGCTGATATTCGGAACCACCATCCTCTTCATCCATGACACCTTGTATCTCAACACCCTCTATCTCCTCTTCCAGATCTTCAGCATTCTCACTGTCACTCACATCCCACCCCCCACCCCCAACCCCCAACCAAACTTTCTTCGTCACAACCATAAACCCTGAAGGCCTTGATGAAATTTGAAGCATTGTCAGTAGTGGTCCTGACAATCTTTTTGCAAATGTTGTATTCAGTATGGATGTCATTAAGGGCTCCAGCTAATATATCAAATGTATGTGATCCTTTAAGCCTTTTGCACGCAAGAGCAACCAAACATCTCTCTAGGCTGTCTGGCTCGATCCAGTGGGCGGTCACTCCAATAAAACTTTGACGAAAAGCCGTCCAGCAGTCTGTGGTAGTCGCGATGTATTCAATGTTCTGCATCGCTCTCCTTACTTTGGCTTTCATTTCCTCTGTTGTTTTTTTTATTTTAGCTCTGACCGGTGTTCTGGACATCACTGTGTAGTTTGGCATAGTATGCTGTATTAAATTTATAAATCCTGGTTGCTCCACAACTCCGAAGGGATGCAAACCCTGAACAACAAAGTTGATGACTGCCTGGTCCATGTTCTTTTGTGAGGCTTTGGTGTCCTCTAGTTTCAGCTGCTTACTGTGTGACGCATTCTCACCAGCAGGCAAGCTTCCCTTCCTCCTGATTGTGGGTGCTGTCAGTTGAAGATATTGGTTGAGGTGATGTGCATGCTTTCTCTGAAAATAAAAAGTAACAAAATACTCTTGGTTAATTCATTAATTCTAACTCATTCAACCTAATACTCCTATAATGGTGGAGGTTACTGTCTTCCGACCTTTTATCATCATGTCAATTCTCAATTGATTTTGATTAATATGAGGGAGGGAGGGAGAGCAAGATAGTTTATAGACGATAAGAGCGCGCACGCGGCCGGAGGAGGGGCTCTCTTTCTGCTCGTTCTTTAAGTAACATGCGACCTGTCACAAACGCAGCTAGTCAGTCATCTATACATCACTGACCGATCAAATAAGGCTTTGGCGGGATAAAAATTCACTTTGGCGGCCGCCAAAACCACAATATGTGGCGGCCAGTGTTGTCGATTCTGTGGCGCACCGCCACGAATTAGTCGATGTGTGGGAAACGCAAACACTGATGATGACTATGTTGTATGTCGCTTTGGACAAAAGCATCTACTAAATACCATAACCATCCATATAATCATGACTAAACTATATGTCAAGATGCATTTCGCAAGATTGCAGCATAAATACCACGTTACCAAAATGAATAGCAGTAACGTACAACAACATGCACTAGCTAATCATAGTACTAGCTAACATTAATGTATCATTACATTTTTTGTACAAAAAAAATATTCTTACACAATCAAGTCAATGTGGCGATTTATGGGAGAAAATTTTTTAATGAAAATGACATTGATTCTGCTCAGCAACGAGATTGCTTACCTCAACATGTTTCTTCAGATTTGAAGGAGAGTTCTTGAAGGCCAGCAGCTCATTTTTTCGGGGCAGGCATAGTTTACATAGGAACCTCCACGAGTCATTTTTTGATCCTGTAATTTCGAATAATTCTTGAAAATACGGCCATGGGTGGCTAATTGATTTGGGCTCAGACTCCATCGGATAAGGGCAAGCACCACACCCACAGTGACCTGACTGACCACACCAGACTATGTGGCCGTTGGAAAAGCGAAAGGGGCCGGGCTCTAGAATCTTTGGATTGAAGGATCATACCTGATTGGGTCCAGAACCTTAGTTATAGGGTTTTGATTGGGTCAAACTAAGATTAGCGTTCTAGAATCGTTTATTTTTTTTACAGTCTATGGTAGCAACCCTTATCTATGGCAACCAAACTTGGCGAGACAAACGTCACGTGCGACGGACGGACAGTCAGGAAGACGTTTTGCCAGGGGAAAAACTGATCAGAAAATGTAATGAAAATTTTACGGAACGCCGTAGAAATGTAGTGGAGTAGAAAGTATAATAATTGCTCTAAAATGTAACAAAGTAAAAGTCAAAAGTATGCACTATTGATTTTACTTAAGTAAAGTACAGATACGTGAAAAAAGTACTTAAGTAAAGTAACGAAGTATTTGTACTTCGTTACATTCCACCACTGCCTGTATGTATTAAATTATTATTTTTATAAAACTAGTAAAACAGAAAAGTCGCAATAAAACAAATAAAATAATTAAATAAAAATAAAATAACATGAAAAATAAATCAAAAGGGCTTTTAAATAGTGAAATCAATTTAAGCGCTTTCTCGTTTTTAACTAATTTTAACAATTTGCACAAGAGTTTAACCACTGATTCAAGTTGGGTTTAGCTTTAAACAATCTGCATTTATGAATGAAAAACTTTCCAAAACATAACAAGAAATGAATTACCAAATCAAACTCTTTGTTTTTCAGACAAACACCAATTTATGACATTTATGCGGATGCATAATAAGCGTAATATGATTGCGTATTGTTCACCTGTTTTCTGACTGGTGTTGTGTCATGTCCGCACAGGTGAGCATCGGCTGCCCTGAGAAGATGGAGCCCATCACTAAAGTCTCCCACATCCCAGCCAGCCGATGGGCCCTGTACTGCAGCCTGTGCCGCGAACACACAGGCACGTGTATACAGGTGAGAGACCGGCAGAGCAAGAGCGGACGGGGACTTCAGGAAGTCCAGTCACATTTATTTCAAAGCAGCCTTATAGAAAATCATGTTAATGTTTGTAACATCTTAAAATCGTCATGCCCTATGTTCTCATTTAATTAGATTAGAGCAAGCAAGCAATCAATCAAAAGATTTGCTATATAGTTTATATCATCCTACATGAGTGTACTGTATGTTTACAGATAAAGCTGGACATGCTTATATATATTATATATCCAGCTTTATGTGAAGAGCTAGTAAAGGAATAGTCCACCATCTAAATGTTGTTCCAGAACAGTTTTCCATGGGAGAATTTGTGATAACTGATGCTTTTAAGTTTCAAGACACAATAGCACCTTAAAAGTATCATAGAAACCGCTACTAGCTAGTTTGTAATTAGCTATTTACTTTATTCAGGGCTGGCAACGTTTGAGCTTAGCTTGGAGTGAGAATGGGGGGGGGGGGGGGGGGGGTGTATCATTTAGATATCAGATATAATTTACATTTATTTTAAGTCTTATTGCAAAATATTTAATTGTAGCTGGATAGCATGAACAAAAAATGACAGGCTAAAGAAGACTTACACAAGGGACTTTTGCCTACGGTTTAAAAATACCATAAAAACAACTAGCTTCGGATCACGCTTCGGATGTGTGTGTGCGGAGAATACAGCATGCGAGTCTAGCGCGCGAATGTTTTAAAGTCATATTACAACGCACACAAAGAAATCAATAAGAGGAATCAATTTTAATTGTATAACATGTATCTGATTCCTGACCTTCGGTATTTGATTCCAGAACTTTTTTCGTCAACGATATTGCATGTTTATTTAGTCACAGCGTAACAAACTTGGCTTGCAACTTAAAGGGATAGTTCACTTTGAAATTAATTTTTGGTATGTTTTAGCTTACCTCAAGAGCATCCAAGATGTAGGTGTCTTTGTTTCCGCAGTAGTTTAAATTTTTATATTTTTAGGTCAAACCGTTCTTGTCTGTCAGTCATATAATGCAGGTCTATGGTCACCGCCTCAAAGAGCATGCACAGAGAAGTCCAAATTAAACATGATTTAATGACTCGTAAATGTAAGTACACATTGATGGCCTAAGACACGAAACGAGCGGTTTGTGTGAGAAAACAAACAGTATTTATATCGTTTTTACCTCTTGTAACCACAGCCACGTCCAAGTGATCTGAGGGCGCCGGCGGTTCGGTCTGCGCAAGCGCCGGAAGTGATCTCTCGCGCGTGTACGTCACTCATACAATTGTTTTATTTGTAATTTTTTTTTTTATTGTTTTCTTTTACGACGGTTTAAACATCCCGGATAAGCGCAAATTAGTACCATTTTAATTAGCCGTCTTACCTACAATCTCTGCTCTGTGTAAACAAAGAGTGACATACACGCGCGAGAGATCACTTCCAGACCGAAGCGCCGGCGCCCTCAGATCACTTGGACGTGGCTGTGGTTACAAGAGGTAAAAACGATATAAATACTGTTTGTTTTCTCACACAAACCGCTCGTTTCGTGTCTTAGGCCATCAATGTGTACTTACATTTACGAGTCATTAAATCATGTTTAATTTGGACTTCTCTGTGCATGCTCTTTGAGGTGGAGACCATAGACCTGCATTATATGACTGACAGACAAGAACGGTTTGACCTAAAAATATAAAAATTGAAACTACTGCGGAAACAAAGACACCTACATCTTGGATGCCCTTGAGGTAAGCTAAAACACACCAAAAATTCATTTCAAAGTGAACTATCCCTTTAAGTTAACCAGTAGTCACTTAAAAGTTCAGGGCACTCAAAAGGTATGAATAAATAAGGGAAAAAACTGTATCAATAATTGAAATCAGACAAAGATAGGCATAAGCAGATTAACCAACAAAGTATATTGATAACACAACAGTCAAATCAGAAAAATAAACACTTATCCCAGAGTCCTTGATCAAATAGTCCATGAGTGAGAAGTATTGTCCTTATGGGTGAATCCTTAGTCCTTGCGCCCAAAAAATGAATCAAAATGTCCAGAAAAAAATGGCAACAATCCTCCAAACGTGATGAACTAGAAAAAATACCAAAAAACCCAAGTCTTCTCTTGAACCTCAATGGGTAATTAATCCATAAACGACTCCAGAGAAGGCTAAAAGACACCAAACGGGGGTGCGTTTCCCGAAAGCATCGTTATCCAACTATGGTCGCAAGTTCGATTGAATTCCATTGGTAACGACGGACTTGCGACCATAGTTGGATAACGATGCTTTCGGGAAACGCACCCCTGTTTGGTTCAACCATGCATGCCCCTTTGGCCTTCTTCTTTTTTTTTTTCTTTTTTTTTTACGCCAGCTTGCATCCAATAAGTTGCATTACTGCCATCTTCAGGCTTTATCTACCCTTTACTTCCACTCATACTAAATCCGTCTATCTAATCCAGTCCCCCTCAAAAAAACCAAGTAACCATTTCCTACCCTCCACACTCTCTCCATACTCCAATAAACTTTTTACTGTATTATCTACCTTTCCTATATTTTATAACTGTATTATCATTTCTTGTCTTTCCTGATTAAATTTCCTGCATGTTGTAAGAACATGTTCTACTGTTTCAGCCTCCTGACATTGTTCACACATTCCTGTAGGATGTTTTCCTATAATAAAAAGTGTGCTATTAAGATTACTATGCCCAATTCTCAGCCTGCTTATTATCACCTGCTCTTTTCTCTTTGCTCCCCTACTTCTTGATATACCTACTTTTCTTTGAATTTCATATAAATATCTCCCATTTGTTGCATTATCCCAACTTTGTTGCCATTGTTGATTTACACTTCTCCACACTATGCCTTTCCCCTCTGATTGTGATAATTTAATATTGACTTCAACATCTCCTTTTTTAACTGCTTCTTTAGCCACTTTATCTGCTTTCTCATTTCCCTGAATTCCCAAGTGTGCTGCCCCTTTAGCCCCAACTAGCTTGGCATTTTCTACTCAAGAAGGCCTTCCTCCTACAAGGTGCTCTCCTGTCAAAATAAAAAGTCTGCATGTTTCTGCACCAAACATATAAGTCCCACATACAAAAGACAGAACTTCAACTATGGCCTGAAACCAATTTAATCACACCTTTACTTATTTTACAACATTTTATCCTCCTTCACATTTGTAAAATAAAGTATGTCTATTTCTCTTAGCCCCAATTTAGTAGTGTCACAACAGTTATCGTTTAATGATGTTGGTGTTATCTCGTCTTAGTCACGGAAAAAAAGTCGTCAACGAACATTTTTCGTTAACGAAATGAACACAACTTTCTATCCAGTAGCTGGTTAGCTTCTTTGGGGTAGAGCGGATGTGCGCTTAGTGAGACGGCCACACAAAGAGGACAGTCGTGCTTTTGCTCTGGCGCATATTTTTTTTATATCGCACCCACATCGCAGCCTTTCGCGAATTTCGATTAATCGTTCAGCCCTAACTAATGATATTTTTACGGAAGCTCGAAAGCTTTGGTCCCTGGATCTTTCCTTTTGTGTTCCTGTTTTGGAAGGACACGAGCGTGAGTAAATGATGAGCGACTGTGACGCGTGAAACACATGCCGTTCTGTTCCCACAGTGCTCCATGCCATCCTGCGCCGTGGCCTTCCACGTGACCTGTGCGTTCGACAACGGGCTGGAGATGCGCACCACTCTGGCGGAGAACGACGAGGTGCGCTTCAAATCGTTCTGTCTGGAGCACAGCAGTGTCTCGCGCTTGAACAGCGGCGCGAGTGCAGAGCCGCGCCTGGACCTCCCCGGGATGCTCTCGGACCGCCTGAAGCAGGAGCAGGCCGAGCGGGAGAAAGCCAGCCATCGCAAGCAGAAGCTGCAAGAGCTTGAAGATGAGTTCTACACATTAGTGGATCCCAAGGATGTGGCGGAAAGCCTTTCGCTGCCGGATGCTCACGTGGACTTCCTCTTCCAGTACTGGAAGCTGCGACGAAAGGCCAACTTAAACCAGCCGCTGGTGGTCCTGAAGAGGGACGAGGTGGACAATCTGGCCCAGCAGGAGCAGGACGTCCTGTACCGGCGGCTCCAGCTCTTCACCCACCTGCGCCAGGACCTGGAGAGGGTGAGTGTGCCATCTCTCAATGCTCTATAATGATTGGTTTCAGGCATTATTTAGGGATGAGTCACGATTTTCGAACATTCGATTAGTTGATTTAATTATAGAATATCGAATAGGTTGTGCGACTATTGTCCCCCAAAAAATCCCCATGTTTTCGGTGTTGATGCGTTGGTGACGCGTTCATGTAACCAGAGGCGATGCTGCGATAACGCAGCTAACAGCTGTCTCAAAGATGTAACCGGACCGAAGCAAAGCGCAGATTTCGGTGCCGCTTAAAGGGTTAGTTCACCCAAAAATGAAAATGATGTGATTAGTGACTCGCCCTCATGTCGTCCCAAGCCCGTCAGACCTCCGTTCATCTTCGGGACACAGTTTAAGATATTTTAGATTTAGTCCGAGAGCTTTCTGTCCCTCCATTGTAAATGTATGTACGGTATACTGTCCTTGTCCAGAAAGGAAATAAAGACATCATCGAAGTAGTCCATGTGACATCAGTGGGTTAGTAAGAATGTTTTGAAGCATCGAAAATACATTTTGGTCCAAAAATAACCAAAACTAGGACTTTATTCAGCATTGTATTGTCTTCCGGTTCTGTTGTGGATCCGCGTTCAGTGCCGCTGCTGACGTGTGTCTGGTGTGTGTGTGTGTGTGTGTGTCTGGTGCGTCCATGTATTCGGGTTCAAAAAAATATATCTGGGCAAAAAAATGCAAGTCTTCCTCTGTGTGGAAATCCTTTGCGAAGATTGTTTAGTTTCCAGTGTGCGTCTCCCTCAGACTGTCATTAATGACATAATTTTCATTTTTGGAGAACTAACCCTTTAAATGCCCCAGCTGTCGGTTGAAATATCTGCCCTCTGGTTCTCCGAAACGGACGTAAGAAACATCATCACCGCATGTGAGCGCTAGTTTACCCTTTTGATCGTTCGCACTGGTGTGCTTAATGTAATGATCATCAACTTCTAAATTCAAATCTGCGTTGGCTGGTGCTGAGCCAGAGAGAGACGTCATCACAACTATTCAGTCCTTTTAACCACACAAGCTTTATTTTAAGTTTCAGACATTTAAATGCACATTAGAACTAGCAAAACAACATTTATAGTTAGTCAAATACACACTGATGTCTATGGAAGCGGCAATAACAATCCTTTCAATTATAAATGGATGACGTGTTTAGATACACATTGTGTTAACTATAAAACTATTCTTCTCACACTTCACCAGCCACTTACTTTAATGTATTTCGGGAGAAGTGGATGACGTGTTGTAGGCCTAAATCTGACTCCGTTCTCTGCACAGTAACATGGCGCCCATTGTGCGTTATAGATCAACTAACATGAATCATGATCATTATAAAGGTCTCGAAAATGACAAAACACGCAACCAATCACAGTTCGATATTTGTTCCGCGTCATGTTTGGTGTGAAAATGTAAAGTCGACGTCCATACAATAACAGACCGGCGTACATCTAATAAATTATTCATTCAAGAACGTTGTGCAAGTTTACTGCAACAATGGAGCCGCGAACTTCACATGCTTTTGAAGATCCAGCCTTCAGTTGATCCTGATGAGCTCAATGTCACAGTTGTAAACATGACGGAGTTCTTCTTCCACGATGGGCTTCGCGTAACGCATTTAAAGTGATGCGTTCTAAAATAACGCTCACCTTGAGCAGGACATGCAGTAAGTCAATAGATGTGTCGTATTTGGCCAGAGAAGCCAAAACATGTAAAAAGAATTGCTGAAATTTAAAGCTGGTTTGTTGCATACCGAATACAGACTTTGCTATTATTAGTACTGTAGTGTTAAGGCTCGTACACACCGGGATGAATATCGGCGCGCGTTATTCGCCAGCGTTTTTCAACGCGTTTTTTGTGTTCACACCCAAGCGATTTTTTCGCTGACGATTACAAATTCATTCCCTGACATTAGATGGCGCCCATTTGCTCTGCAAAACCACTCCATAACAGTTCTCTTTTATCAAGATTTTTGTAGTCGCTGTCGCGTTTGTCATATAGTTCTTTATGTTCCGACACCAACGAGACCAGCGGCTCTACATTCATCTGGCCTTGCATCTTCCTCGTCTTATTTCTTCCCGGCAGTGTAGACGCTACTTGGCGTATATCTTCTTCGTCGTTACGTGTGTGTGCTCAGCAAGACCGTTTTGTGTTTGAGCGCCCCCAAGGTGTGTTTTACTGTAACTTCAGAAGCTCCAGACACGAGAGCAAAAGCTCCAATCTCATTGGTGGGATAGTTTTTGGCGCGGCGCGTCAAACTAAAAAAACGAACCCGAGGCGTTTTTTAAAAAATGACGCTTTTATGCGTGGCGTTTTTCGCGTCGGTGTGCACACTCACTTTGGTGCCCATTGTTTAGTCACGAGGCGTTAAACGTCGGCGAATATCGCGCGCGAAATTCGTCCCGGTGTGAACAGGCCTTTATTTAGTGTTGAATTATTGTATTTGGGTTAGGTGGCTTAGGTTTTATTGTGAATTTGTTATGTAAATTTGGTGTGTTTTGTATTTAGACAACTTATATTTATATACTTAACCCTTGTGCACTGTTCGAATTCTGTGTACTCCCCTTATGGACCGGGTCAAATTGACCCTAATTGGATTTAATACAATTCCTCAAAAATCACACTATGAAAAACAACATAGATTTAGATACAAACTGTAAACTTTTAATATCAACATTTGTTAAACATTACAAAAACATTATATCTGAAAATATAATTTATAAAAATGTTTTTAATTCATTTTTTAAACCAATTTTTGACAAAATTGGAAAATAAACAGTATACTGACTTTTGCATATACATTTTTACTACTTTTTTTATTCTATTTTATTTTTTTACTTTTTATGCTTTGAACATTGTAACTGAACAATACAATTTTGCTGTATAATGAACATTTTTAATTTTCCTAAGTTAACTTTCCCTAGTTTCCTATAGTTCCCTAGTTTCATTATTCACTCACTGGGAAGTGAGAAACCAAACATAACAAAATCATACATCAAATAAATGTTTTTTATTTATTTTTTGGCTCTGTGAAGCTGCCTTTGAAAATCCTACATAAAAGTTTTGGTTAAAAGCTAGGTATTTTAGATATCTTGAATATTGAAATGAGAGCTTATTTTACTATCTGTGTCTGACAAACATTTTCATCTGTAATTTGCAAATAATTCTAAACACTGATTTTAGCTTTTTCAAGTGTGTTTGGTTAGGGTTAGAGCACTTTTAGATGCACTTGCACGTTAGAACTGGAGTTGAAGTACCCTTACATACAGAAAATAAATGTTTTTATTTTGTGTCTGTACAGTTGCTTTTGAATGGCAGCCTATGAGGGTCAAATTGACCCGTGAACATCACGAACGTAATAGTAATTTTGTTTGTATATGTCAAAACACATCAGCATGTTGAAACTTTGCATGCATGTTCATCATGATAAATGAGAAAAAGTCACAAAATATCAAGAAAAAAAAAACAAAGGTTAACCAGTATTTCCAACAACTAGAAAATCGAAACATAACACAAGGGTTAATCAAAAATTTTAATATATTCAATTTTAAGAATTTTTTATTTGTTTTCAATTTAAAAAACGTTCTTTAATGTCATTCACCATCGTTTTGAGGCTCTCTTTTTTTAAGTTTTTAGGCACCTGTACCGTTTTAAAAGTATCGATTTGTCACCGGTATCGAAAAAACAAAACATACCCAAACCTATAGAAGCGCATCTGGGTGGAGTAGATGCTCTCACTGATCTAAGAGTTATAAAACGTGATGCATGACGAAGAATAAATCATTTGTAGAAACATTTAGGAAATAATGTTCATATTTGGAGTCGTTGTAGGCAAAAAATTGCATGTGAGCAAAGGAGCTGAATATAGCAAACTGAGTCAGATGTAATGTGAGCATTATCACGAGGTTTTACAGACACATGCTAACTCCTAGCCATAGCTATCTCAGTGACTGGTGTGTTTTCTTCCAGGTCAGAAACTTGTGCTACATGGTCACACGCAGAGAGAGGATCAAGCACTCCTTATGCAACCTCCAGGAGAAGATCTTCTCCCTGCAGATCCAGCTCTTGGAGAAGGACCTGGTCGGAGGTATGGGAACTCTTCACAACAATCTCTTACGTTTTACTTTTAATATTTTGATCTATCGGTTTTAATTGATAGCACAGTATCTAAGCTGGAAATGAAGCAAAGCGAGGAGATTATGAGAGCTTTAAGCAGTGTTTGGGAGTCATTTACGGCTAAAATAGGGTTCAAAATGACCCGTCAAAAGTGTATTATTTTTCCTTTTTATACAAATGGTCGGTGAAAGAAGGTGCTCAAACTACGGCTGGGCGATTAGCGATATCGAGATTGCGATCATTTATGTTGATAAGCTCTGGGCATTTTTACTCTAAATGGATTAACCTACCAGTCTATCACACATCAGAGATAAACGTGACCACATCCAGTCAGTCTCCAAAGAGCCGACGAGGGACACACACTTGCGTTGCCCTCCAAAGCGGAGGAAATTGTTGAAAAAAAGGTAAGAATGCATTACACAACGTGATTTTGCGGAAACACGAGATGAAGATTTAGCTTCTTTTAACGTGTTTTTATAATGCCGTGCCATGCATGCGACGCTACGAAAGACGCGAAACACATCCATCTAGCACGTTTACATAGAGAACCAGTGGAAAAGTAGCGCAGGCTTTGAAAAAACACGTTCTGTGTAGGGCTGTCACTTTTGTGAAAAAATCCTGTTCGATTTGAGACATAAGTGTTTAGTGAATCGATTGTAAAATCCATTTTTAAAGACGTTTCCATTTTCAACACCAAATACAGGCAAATCCACGGCCACCTAACAGGCATAAGGACGAGCGTAAAGAGGGCGCTTGAGACGCACAAGTCAGCAATATTACTGATGATTTATTGGCGTGAAGTTTCAGCACAATGTCAAACAGGAGCGCAACATTCAGGGATTGAGATTAACTCCCTCGACCCGCCAGATGCGGTACAAATGAGCTTTGGCGGGAAACGCTGTCAAATCACGAGCCAATCTGGCGTGTTTCTGTGTTTACTCACTTTGCTGGGGAAGTTCGTGTAAGACAAATCTGCGCGGATTTAGCGCAAATACGCAACTCATGATCCTCATGATATATTAAATACAGCGTATTGCAGAATCTGCACATTTTTGGCTTACTTGAACACACACACACACATACGTCACTACGCAACAAATAACGGCGCGCTTGTTCACTTGCATTGAAGCAATAGCGAATGTTAAAAAGCATTTGGTGAACAGAAAAGACATTGTTATTTTCCAGCATCCTACATGTTCTGTGTGCTGTATTGATCTGTCCACCTAAAACACATTTTTGGTAAAAAAAAAAAAGAAAAGAAAAAGGCCGTTAAAACCGATTCCCTATTTTCGTTTTCGAAACTTGTGTAAGTTGGTCCGATCGATTGTGTAATCGATTTTCGAACGTAAAGTGACAGCCCTAGTTCTGTGTGATCCGGCCCAGACGGTCTGCTAAACAAAATGTCGACTGACGGTTGGGCGACACAACAGACATTTTCCATCTCCTGAAGAGGAACTATCCCAGTGACATCACCAAGAGTACGAGCATGCATTCCCATGTTAGTGACCGCTTTACATTTTGCCAGGGTTCCCGCGGGGCATTAGAAAATCCTGAAAGTCTCAGATTAGAATCCCATGATTTTAACGCCACTAAAAAGTCCTACATATATGCTTTTAGGCCGCATTTACACTGCGTTGTTCAAGTGACCCAATTCCCTCCCATGTGACCCAGATCAGATACGCCCCTCGAACGTGTACGCAGGACAACAGCACATGGATTCCGCCATTCTCAGATCGGTTTCAGGCCTTATTTACATGTGGAAATAAATCTGATATGAATCGGATACGTGCATGTGTAAGCGGACAGATCGGATATATTCCCGTCAATGCGAGTCGTACGTCATTGAAAAAAGTGACTTTTTGAAACATTTCGTGGCACAGATATACAGGCGAAACTCGAAAAATTAGAATATCATGCAAAAGTTCAGTAATTCAACTTAAAAGGTGAAAGTAATATATTATATAGACTCATTACATGCAAAGTGAGATATTTCAAGCCTTTATTTGTTATAATTGTGATGATTATGGCTTACAGCTTTGAAAACTTTTCACAATATTTCAGAGGTGGGAGACTCAAGTCATATGACTTGACTCGAGTCGCTATTTTCTGGACTTGAGACTTACTTGACTAGATCTCTGAAAAGACTCGACTTGACTTTAGACTTGCTCCTTGTGACTTTAGACTTGACTCGGACTTGTGCCTATTTACTTGAAATGACTTGTGGAAAAAAAAAAAATTCAATTATTGTGTATTTTTTATTCGTCATAGGAGGGAGCGCGGGCGGTAATGCACTCACTCTGTGTGTTCGGGTTGAGGGAGAATAAAACGATTCGCGGGACTCCCGCAAACTAGAAATATCTATGAATAAAACATAAAAACTAATACATTTTTATTCAACTGTTGCAGAAAAGCAATAAGAACAACTAAAACAAAATAGAAACGATTTACAGGCCAGATGTTTCTATTTCTAACATGTCTGCAGCGTTGAGCGATGTAGCCAATCACAGACATACGTGTTGATTTCTTAAACGCAATAATGGCCAATCAGAAGCATTTACGATAGACTCCCCTCACCGCTCAAAACAGACCTCTTGTTCAGTGCTGAATTCTGTATGCTGGCAAATCCTCGAACTATAACAAACAAAGTGTATATATTATGAACGCTTCATTGATAATAACAGAGATGTGTGAGATCGCGATGAACTGATGTCAGCTTTTTAGGAATTAGGGCGCGCAGTCATGCCAAACCATGGACGCAGGAGCTGCTTGCTTTTATGTCTAAAAGTGGTTTGTGTGTTAATGCTTTAATAACAAATAATTTATCAGGAGCATTTATGCTGATGTGTATGTGGGCGACACGTAGGCTAACTTAAAACTATTTGGAGGTACAGGGAAAAAAGTATTTTTGCGGGTGGGAGCGGGACAAAACATAAATGTTGCGGGCGGGAGAAAGTAAGAAAGAAAGTAGTTGAGAATGTCAGTTATAACGACCCACGTATTAAAAAATAGTCGGGTTTAAATCATTTAAATTATTAGATTTGTTTTCTTAAAATTTCCATATAATATTTTGTGTTATGGGATCAAATCACCTGGATGTTTAGAGTAAGAACATAGCCTACAAACTTTGGCATACAGTACTAATTTAGAATGCAATATCTTTTTAGTTTTTCTTTACAAGATAAGAAAAGTTGTATTAATTCTTGTTTACTTGTGTTCATTTAATTTATTTTTATTTTAGAGCATTTAAAGTGCTTCTTAAAGGGACACTGTGTAGGTTTTTAGGTATTTTATTATCTGAAATCAATATTTTTATTCTTAAATATGTCCTCAATGGTGTACAAATACCTCTGCAAATTATCTGACTTATCCTCGTAAATTAAGAATTTATTATCTTTATGTACATGGGACGGGTAGGTTCACGGAGGCTTCCATGTCGTTCCGCCATCTTGAAAAACTATAATAGCAGAGAGGGTCAAAAAGTACCAACCAAACGCGTTTCCACAACGCGTTTTCGTTCAGAGCCAGCGTCATGTAACTGAAAGCAGCAGAACCGGAGGAGCAGAGCTGAGAGGCGCTGGTCACTGCCCCGGCAAGTTTAAAAGGCTGCATTGCTTCTCTTCTCTGCCTTGGAAACTTTCAATTCTATCAAGATCGTCTCTTGTAGCTGCCGCGGGCATCTTTGTCGTCGTGGTATTGACTCTCGCTCTCCTCCTCTTCCTCGTCGTCCACCTCTACTAGACGACAGCGCCGGGTGATTCTGTCAGCAGTAAATAGGCTACTTTTAAAATAATGTAACTCACGTTTGAATGCCTTTTGTTTGTGATCCGATGTGGATTCTGATCACCATATAAGGTAGAAATATTTATACGCGAGTAAAAGACTATATTGCACGCTAACCATTAACGTTACCATAGTAAACAAAATAAACGCTTGAAGATACGCATAGTAAAAAAAACATAGTGAACGTTTGAAGAAATCAGACCAATCATAAAGGTTATCACAATAATGTTTTTATTTTATCTGTCAGATAGCCTACGTCTCGTCTCTTTATACCGGACTATCATAAAATAAAGCACATTTTTTTTCCCGGGAGCTTCCTCTGTTTCTCTGACTGAAAATATCTGTAACGTTAGCCTACTGGGAGTCGAGAGAGTGCTAAAGCTCCTCAGGTCGTATTATTGGTGGCATATATTTGTAGAAATTATCATTCTTTTTAAATGTGATATATGTCCTGTTACTACCAAATAAACAGAAACAGACGCGATTGAAGTAAGTGTGTCCTATTTCTTTTGTGAAACCTAACGGTAATTTATTTCTGTGTGACTAATGTGCAATTTTGACATACATTAATTCATGATCAATGTATCGCCTTTTATTGTACACCTGGTAAAACATCGATGCTTGGGTTTTAAATAGTCAAGTAAACAACAAAAATGCCAGCAAACGGTCGCTTTTATCATATTTGTTTTGCAATGCTGTTTCCATTTCTTTCTGATTAGTTTTCTGATAACACGGGCGTGTTTTATTGAAGCACCGCGGAGCTTCTGGCCTGACAGTGGAAACGTTCTTCTGATCCACTGCCTCTCTGTCCTCTCCCTCTACTGTTGAATCATCTGATGATGATGATGATGATGATGATGATGATATCTAATCTAACAATGCACGTACTTAAGAAAATATAACGAATAAATAAGCATAAATACTAATTACAATGGTTCATGTTTTTCACAGTCAGTAATTCATACTGTAAAGTTGCAGTTTGTTTGAAATAACAAACCTGTTCACCCAAAGGAAAACTCGACGAAGTGCTATTAGAAGACGTCCTGTCAATAGCTTTTTGGTACATAACGGCTACCGTAGATGCAATACACATTTGAAAAAGCGAGGCGCTGGAGAGCACAATTCGTTTGAATGCAAAATACAATTTCACCGCTAGATGGGAGTAATTCCTACACAATGTCCCTTTAATGC